ATCTAACACAGGAAGAGAAAGTAACATGAAACACTTGTTCTCAGAGGTTATTACCATCTAAGAGGTAAATAAACATGTACACACATGTACACAGCACATGTAAGCATGGGCTGGAGAAAAGGTTCAGCAGTTAGCAGTTCCTCCTACTCCTGCAGGGGGAACCAGATTCATTTCCCAGCACCCACATGCTGCTTTCCACAACCTTCCCTAGATCCAGTTCAGGGGATCAGACACCCTCTCTGGCCTCTAACAGCATCAGGCACATATATGCACATATCTACATGTGACTAAGAACCCATGCACGTTAAATAAATACAAATACAACTTTAAAAAAATGGGCTGGAGAGATGCTCATTGACTTCTCTTCCAGGGGAACTGGGCTTGATTCCCAGAACCCACGTGGCAGCTCACAACTGTCTGTAACTAGAGTTCCAGGGCATCTGATGTCATCTTTTGGCCTCAAGGGCACCAAGGATCCAAGTAGTACACAGACATACGTGCAAGCAAAATACCCATACACACAAATAATCAATATTTTAAAACTGTATCTGCATACATTCATAGTCTAGCTAGTTATTACAAAATGTACAAAATACTCACTTTGTTTTATATTTTTTATGAAAGCTGACCTTCCCTCTACAAGATTCCATGTTCTGCAAAACAGGAAGTTTGTTTACAGCATTATCATGTCACCAAGTGGGAAAAAATGTACGACAGGCATCCACACAGGACAATTTCACTACATGCTGTATACTTAAAGCACCTGCCATTTACTGTGTAGCAATGTCAATAAATGTTTTTTTTCAAGTATGATTAAAGCTCAACCCTTTCCTGAAATTTTAGACATGCTATTCATTACATTTTCATCTATTCAAAGTTTCTCTTCAGGATCACTCTCCTCCTCAATTCATTCTACAATAACTCAAACATGGAAACAAGGACCTTTTTTTGGGGGGGGGGTCAGGGCCTTAGTCTGGAACTTGCCATGTAGACCAGGCTGGCCTCAGATTCACAGAGAGCAGTCCACTTCTGCCTCTGAAGTGCTGGGGTTAAAGGCGTGCACCACCTTGCCTGACCAATAGAGATCATTTTACACCAGCACTATGAAATACTTTCTACTGACTTTCTGCTTTGTTCTGTTATCCTTGTTATCACAATACGTTAAAATGGTTGAAAGCTTTGGAACGATGGATATGGAAACAGTATTTGTTATTGCTAAGTAAAAGATACATTAGTAAAGGTGCTCTTGGGAATTTATAACTTACCTTAATGTCTTATCGGTACCAACAGACAGAGCCAACTTGCCAGACGGGTGGATAGAAAGGAAAGTCACATGTCCTCTAAAAGGAAAGGGACAGTTAGCACTCAGCTTGACTGGCAGGGTAAAACTGCCAATAGGACCAAGGGGACTCACTTGTGAGCTTTAATGGACTTCAGGCATTCCCATTTCCTTGCATCCCATACACAGATGAGTCCATCTTCTGCGCCACTGATTAAGTGCCTGCTGCCATAGAATTTCAGGCAAGTTATGGTGCCTGTGAAAAAGCAAGACAGGCAAAACTGTATAGCTTTGAACACAAACGTGGTCTCTGGTTGGAAGTGCAGGAGGATGAATGTAGTCTGGAAGTGGCTCTGCCTAGCACAGACAAGATCCATGTTCAATCCCTGGCACCACGGAAGCAGAGGCAGCCAGTGCTTTTGCAGAGCTAAGTGATTGTAACATAGGCCATACACATGGTCCACAACAACACTGACCATTTGGTTCTTTGTAGACTATAACTGTTGGCCACTACTTCCATCTATTCACCTCCTATTCGATCAGCAATAATATCCTCTCTTGTGAACAGAAGTTTCTGTCCCACCTGGTCCCACAACCATTTAGCCCCAAATAAACACACAGAGACTTACACTAATTAGAAACTGTTTGGCCAATGGCTCAGGCTTCTTACTGGCTAGCTCTCTCTTAATTACTAACCCATTACTAAACACTTGCTTTTTTAAGAGTTGCTTTGGTCAATGTGTCTCTTCACAGCAATAGAAGAGAGACTAAACAAACTTACCACTGTGATGCACCAGAGCCCCATGATCGACCTTCTTTTTCATGTCATAAATGTGAATCGTTTCATCTTTGCTGCCAGTGACTACAAAGCGACTGTTCGCCGCCACCGCTGACAAGGAGGCAGTGTGGGCATGGTGAGTGAAGTCAGCCACAGGAGTCCATGTCTAAGAAAGAATGAAATGTGGTCAACACCACAGTCGCATCACAGTTCTCTGAAAATATAGTTCCACAATCCCTAAAATCAACCAGTGGGTCCTGCAAATGGAGAAAAACTAGGTAATAATACACTGATGAAAACAAAACAAAAAACAAGGACTGGAGACCTCAATAAGGAGTGTTAATGAGGGGAAGTTAGGCTTGGTAGCGTATCTCCAGATCACAGAAATGGAGACTTACATACAGGCTTCCATATCAGTGATTCATTCAAATGTCCAACTTTCTATGTGAATTAATTCCAGTAACATTGCCTACTCTCTCTCATCTATATTACTATCCTACTAAATATGCTTGATACCATATGGGTAGTAGAAACAACAATGAACAGATATTTATTCAAATGCAACTGTCACTCCAAGGAAAGATATAAAATTAATGTGATGTTTCACAGAAGTAAAGATATGATAAGCCCTATAAGACTGTGTGGGTATATTCTCATCAGCACTAATATGAGCCCTGGGAACTGCTAATAATGAGTCTCAGGGACCAGATGCTCACTACTATATGGCTTTTTGGTTTGGGAAATGTGATTGGATGAGTACAAAGTACAGAACACACACACATATATACAGTACTCTTCAAACTGAAGGAGCTACGTGGAAAGGTGTTATTATTAGCCAAGGAAGAAAGAAAACAACACAAGAAACCCCAGCAAAGTTCTCCGCATGATGCCTAAGGTGAATCACCACACATCAAGTCCTAAAAGACTACAGCAGTGGACAGTCCTCCCATCAGTCAGGGATGACAGGCCTCCTTTGACTCAAGACACAATATACTTGGGGCATGTAACTCATGTGACTTTCTCCCCCCCCCCTCTTCTTTTAAAGTTCTCCCTATGTAGCCTAGACTGGTCTTGAAGTCAATATGTAACCTAGGCAAATTTTATGCCTTTTTTTCTTTTTTTGAGACAGGGTCTCACTATTTAGTTACGGCTATCCTGGAACTCATTATGCAGACCAGAGATTTGCCAGCATCTGCCTGCAGAGTACTGGGATTAAAGTAAAGCCATGCACTACCATAGCTGGCTTAAACTTTAAACTCTTAATTCTCCTGCCTCAGCCTTTTGAGTAGACACTGGTCATCTGATTCAACCATACTACAAATTTATGTCAAGTATCACGTGTTTATTCAAATTACATAAATATTGGTTACCATGGTTACTGGCTGGATTTCCAAGCAGCACCTAGTAATGTTAAAAATGAAAGCCTGGGCAACACCTGGTGGGCCCTGACATGCTGTATTTGTAAACTGTGTGGCCTTGAGCAGTCTCTTGGCCTATGAGACATCTCCCAATTGCTTGTCTCTAAAATGAGAATGGCTGTATCTATCTCAGGGTTGCTGCGCATCTGGAACAAGCATATTACAAAGAAAATACGCTAAGGAAGTACCCAACAAGACAGATTTGTAGGCGATAAGTGGAACTGCTCCAGAAGTAACCACTTGTAGTATTAGATCACGCCTCTAGTCCTGTATATGACCCTGTTTACTGTTTGGCTACCATGTTGGCATTTACCTGGATCTGCTTATTTTCATACCTAATAAAAATAAATGTCACACTGTGCTACACTCTCTGTACTCCTCTCCCTTGATCGCCGGCCCTTCCATCAGGACGGTCACCAGCGCAGAGCCACACCTCCGGCACCTTCTCACCCTGCCGCTCCACCCACAGTAAATTCACAAGAAACAGCGAATCGGTATCACCTTCTTGATCCCAACCCAGCTGTAATATTTTGTTAATCGGATAGAAACTCAGTGACAGGTAAAGTCATTTTTACATTAGACCCCGAACAGCTAAAGTAATTGTCAGCTTAATTGCTCACCTCATTTTTGTATGTGCTAAAAACGTCAGCTTTTTCACGCCCTGAGAGTGCTTTAAGTTGTTTTCCCTTTTAGTTAACATACAACGAGTGCATGTATTTGTGAAGTACAATGTGATATTTCAATACATACGTAGTTAGATCTGAAAACAAACAAACGACCTATCTATCCCTCAATCAAATCAAGGGTCATATTTTTGAGCTGACAACATTCAAAATATTCTCTAGTAACTACTTTAAAACATACAATTGACTGTTACCTTACTAGGTAATAAAAATAGTCATCTTACTAGGCAAAAAAAAAAAAGTCATTCCTCCTATCGAACTACATTTCTGCAAGCATTAGCCATCCTCTCTCTCTGTCACCTCCCCACCCTGACAACCATTCATCTCCTTTCCACACTGCGACCAACGTTTTCGTATCTGTCTAGAGACGTTTTATAACTACTATAACAAGTAGATATTATCTCATTCTGAAAAGCATTTACTATGTCTTTCTACACGAGCTTTGAGCTCACTATCCTCCTGCCTCAGTCTCTCTGGAGTTGGGATTGCCGCATAAACTTGTCTGCTTCCTACGCAAGTCCTCCATCAATAATCTATGGAGACCGAGCTTAAATAACGCCCAGGCGCCGCAGCGTCCGCCCGGGAGGGAACCAGGCTCCCCTCCCCGCCGGTCCCCCGCAGCCCCGGACTCGCGGTTTCTCACCTCCCGGCCGCCACTCGTCGCGGGCTTGCGGTGCACTGCGAACCCAAACAGGACCTGCTCGTAGCTGCCAGCGACCAGCTCCATTCAGCAACACACGTGCCGCGCAGGACAAGCCAGCGTGCGAACTCAATGGAAGAGGCGGCCGGCTCTTTGAGCTTCGGCGCGCAACTTACACGTCATCACTCAGAGGCACCTTTCAGGCGCCTGCATCTGGAGCGAGCGAGGGCACGCTCGAAGGTCACGCGGCCCTCCTACGTGGAGCTTGAGGAATGAAGCCGCAGGTCGAGGTTCTCACAGCCGACAGAAAAACGTTGTGGCAAACAGGCAAATCCTGGAAAGCTGTGAGCAGGGCGGGCCTTGGGAAGTGGGGGGGAAGTAGTCCGCGCAAGCCCCAATTTCCGGTGCGTCTATGGAAGGGGCGGACCCACTTCCGGCTCCGGCGCGCCTTAGTAGCGGAGGCTGCTGGCGTGTTGCGTTGGTCGTGGGTTCCGGAGGTGGGTTTCCTGCATTTTCGGTTTTCTGGTTGTTTGGACACGCAGGGTCTCGCCTCCTCGCACCTGCTTCCCTCCGGCGGCTTGGATTACAAAGCGAAGGGTTTCGTTTTTGTGCAGAGAGCAGTAGGGACCGTTCCGTCGGATCGGCTCGGTGACGGTCCCGGCCGCCGGGTGCCGGAGCTGGCCGTGCCCGGTCCGCCCTTCTCGGATGCTAACGCCAGTGAGGCTGCGGGCCATGCTGGGTACGACATGAAAGAGTGTCTTGAGGGAGGAGGACGGTGACGTTCGAAATGGAAGACTCGCGTTTACTCTAGTGTACACCTCCACCAGGCTTAAGAGACAGAGAGCAAAGGTTAATGAAAGCAATGGCACCTTTTTTGTTTTTGTTTTTTTAACTCTGAGGTTTCCGTGAGTTTTAGGGAGGGTCAGGGATGATTTAAAAACGAGTTTTCCGAGAACCTCCAAGGTTTAGAGCTTACAGCATTGCGGGTGGGTTAGTTGATGCTTGTGTCTGATCTTCACACAAGCATGCGAACTAATAAAGCCCGTAAGTGCTTAGACTTTATTTCTTTGAGACACTTGCTCTCTAAGGCTACAAATTGTCTACCTTGTTAACCGGTAAAGTCTCGTTTGAGTATGGGGAAACGGTCTTTCAATTGTGAGAAGCTCTGTGTTCTTCCCGTGTGGACTGCTCTACTGACAAGCCCGCACACAGTCCAGTCGAAACCCTTGTGTTAACTAATTTAAGATCTTCATTTAGTGCTAGTTTCCCTGAGCATAATGTTTGTTTTGTTCTTCCTGAGACCGGGTAGCTCTGTGTAGCTCCTGGCTTTCCTGGAACTAGCCCTGTAAATCAGGCTGGCCTCGAACTCACAGAGATCCACTAGCTTCTGTTCCCCAAATGCTGTGATTAAAGGTGTGGCCACCACCACCTGGCTTGCTTTTCTAGTTTTAACTCTGTCGTGGATTTTTTTCACTTTTTGTGGCGTGTAAGTGCATAAAAAATGTATTTAAGAGCCGGGCGTTGGTGGCGCACGCCTTTAATCCCAGCACTCGGGAGGCAGAGGCAGGTGGATCTCTGTGAGTTCGAGGCCAGCTTGGTCTACAGAGCAAGTTCCAGGACAGCCTCCAAAACAATACAGAGAAACCCTGACTCGAAAAAAAAAATGCATTTAAAAGTGTAAAATCCAGTATGAAGTTCTACTGAGGTGTATAGACTTTGATTCTGGTTAATTTGATTTTTTTGCAATTTCTTTATATTAAAGTCTTAATAAAAAATAAATGATCATTGAGATCAGTGTAGTGAAGCAGAGTTTACGTGAACAAAGGAAAATGTGACTTGTCACCCAGTACAAAGGAGGCACAGGTGGGAGGAGCACAGTTCCAGGCAAACCCAGGCTCCAGGAGATCCTGTCTCAGCCTTCACCCCCTTCAAAAAAACAAAAGCACCTGCGATCTCAGCATTTGGGAGGTGGAGACAGGAGAATCAGAAGTTCAAAGCCAGCTTTGAGATGAGACTCTGTCTCAGTGCACCCAACACAAACTCACACCACCACCACAAAAAAAAAAACAACAAAAACCCATGATTTGCAAATTGAGCTGCTTCCAAAAACAAAGCAGGTTCTAGGAACTTCAGATACTGTAATCAAACAGGAAAATGGAAAAGTGATGTAATTAGTCCTTTAAACAATCGTTGTCATTTAATTGGCTACAAGGCATCTAGTAAGCAACGGAGGCTGGATTACTGTGAACAAAGTCTACACGGCTTTGATCTGATGGGCTCAGTGTGGGCTCCCAGTCCAGATGCATAGCTCCTATAAATGTTATCCTGTACTGGAATCTGTTAGTACCAGAGAATCACACGCTTGTGCATACATCTATTTGATAGGTCTTACAGGAGAGCTTTGTGGCCTGACAGTCTTCTGCTCCAACCAGGAATCATAGGATGTGGTGGCTCTAAGTGTAGGTGTCATAGTAATTTTACAAAAGAAAACAAAACCACCTTAGAAAGTCCAGCCAATCACAGAGCTCAGAAGACTTAGGAGTATGTCAGCCAAAACTTAATAGGTGGATGAAAGCACATTGAGAAATGTCAAGAGTATTCATTCCTTAGAAGTATATGGGGAGGCTAGAGAGATGGCTCAGTGGATAAGAGCCCTGGCTGTTCTTCCAGAGGACCCATGTTCCATTGCCAGCACCCATATGGCAGCTCATAACTATCTGTAACTCTAGTTCCCGAGACCCGACACCCTCATGCAGGTAAAACAACAGTGCACATAAGTTTTTAAAAAGTTATGAAAGTCTGTGGATCTAAATTTTTGGAGAACATTGTTGCTGGATTCCCGCCTGGGTCCCATAGCTGCTTTAGCCCCCAAATAACACACAAGACACTATATTAATTATAAAGCTGTTGCCGTTTGCTGTCTTCTTAATGGCTAGCTCTGACTTAATTATTAACCCATAATTACTAGTATATATCTTTATAAGAACTTATCTTTCTGAGGACGCCATCCTGGGATGACATATTGACTCCACTCTTCACTACATTTCCCAGAATCATCCTTGACTCTAGTCCCACCTATCTTGCTTCCCTATTGGCCAACAGTGTTTTATCAACCAATCAGACAAACATATACAGAAGGCCTTCCCCCATCACCTTTCTAATGGGATTACTGCTTCAATGAAGTAAAGTCAGATTTATTTTATACTTTTATGTATTTACATGTCATCAAAAAATGAAAAATCCATGATAGAGTTAAAACTAGAAAAACAATGAAGCCCAGAGAAAAATATCCTAGTTTGGTATTAGATTATAAATGCTGAAACATGCTCAGGAAAGTGACATGTCCAAGGCCACAGATAAGCAGCAGCCAGTTACTGCTCCTGTGTTTTACACACTCTTGACCTTGAACTTTCTGGTTCACAGAGAACAAAGCTGTAACTTTTCATTTTATTCCTGGCCAGATCCGAAGTGTCTTAACCAGCTCAGGTTGCAGGTCTGAAGCCAACCACTGCAGAATTATACCTGTTCTACTGGATTCAAACGGCATATTTCTAAAACCTCCTGCTCTCTCAAAACAGGCTGTAAAAGGCCACTTAATTTCAGTATGAAAACTGAAGTTGCCAAGGAGCAAAGTGACTGTTGAGAGATCAGTAACACACTAACAGGATTTTTACTGTGCCTTAAAATGATTGATTACAAAGCTCTGTGCACTTGAGCTATGCCTTCTTCATTCATTCATCCATCCGGTAAATATTTATTGAGGAGCTGGCTTTGTTTGATTTGCCAAAAAAAAAAAAAAGAAGAAGAAGAAAGAAACAGCTATAGTACAGTAGTTGACTGTATTCCTTTTTGAATACAGTAAGAGAGTGGAGGAAAATTAGCTTCGGTCAGCAAAATGACAAGAGTGTAATATTCCCACTCATTCAACTTCTTCCACGTGAAAAGGGGCACCTCTGTTGTATTCTAGGACTGGGGAGGGTGTATAGCTGCATTAGCAGAGGTGTTTGGTACCTTTGCATTTCTGAGCTAAAGCAAGCCAAGGTTGCGGTCAGCTTTCCTAGGAGGCACTAACATGCACATGCTTTGTGTGCTCAATCCAGCTGAACTAGGTTTGTTTTACATTTAGGAAAATCACAAAACACTACTTTTGAGCCCGCCCTTGTAATTTTCACCTACAAGTCCTCAGAAGGCCCAGCTTCACCCTGGATCCTTGTTCAGATGGCTAAGAGGCCTGGAGAGATGGTTCAGTGGTAGAAAGCACTTGCTGTTCTTGCAGAGGACCCAGATTTGGTTTCTCAGCCCCAAAATGACAGCTCACCATCACCACCTATGACTCCAGTTCCAAGAGTCCATTGCCCTCTTCTTGACTCCACTGGATCCTGGATGCACATGGAACATAAAAACACACAGGCTGTTGTAACTTTAGAAAGGCACACAAGCGAAAGACGCCATGTGATAGAGCTTAGGTGGAGGGGTGTTTTACTGTGGGAAAGTGGATAGGAAAAGGGGGGAGGGGAGAGGGAAAACCGTCCTCTTCGGACAGGAGCAGCAGAATAGGCAGGGAGGGGGGAGGGGGGAAGTGGGCAGAGTCCCTTTTAAAAGGGAATGTAGTGACTATGCACAGGTGGTGCCCTTAGTGACTGCAAGTGAGGGCGTGTCCTGTCAGAACCCCAAGGTCAGGCCAGTACGGATGCCTGAATACTAGCACAGGTTCACTTACATACACTAAAATAAATAGATTTTTTTAATCACTAAGAAAACATTGAAGGGTTTCTTTGCATATTAGAGCTTGCATACTTCTTGCTTTATCCTGCTTTTCATTCTAAAATAAAAATATTGATACATGCTGGGCGGACATGGCACCCGCCTTTAATTCTAGCACTAGGGAGACAGAATAGGCAGATCTCTGTGAGTTCCAGGCCAGCCTGGCCTACAGAGCTAGTTTCTGGGACAGACTTTAAAGCTACAGAGAAATCTTGTCTCAAAAAACAAAACAAACAAAAAGAACAAAAATAAATATTGATACAGCTGTAATCCCGCACTCAGGATACTGAGGCAGAAGTTCATGAGTTTGAGGCCAGTCTCCTATATAAAGTTCCTGTCTTAAAAATGTAAAACCTGGGGGCTGAAGAGATAGTTCAGAGGGTAAGAGCACTGGCTGTTCTTCCAAAGGCCCTAAGTTCAATTCCCAGCAGCCACTTGGTTGTTCACAACTATCTGTAATGAGATCTGGTGCCCTTTTCTGGCCTGCAGGCACACAAGCAGGCAGAACACTAAAAATGCAAAACTTTAGCTTAGACCTGCATTAGTGCCAACTGTGTGTGATATGCAGCTCCCTCTGGATAATTCTCAGCTGGTTGAAGTAATGGTTTCTATACTTAGATATCTAAAGAGAAAGCCATGAGATGTTGGGTCCAGTAGTTATTCTTGGAAGATCACTGAGGGGAAAGCTGGTCAGGTTGTAGGGAGTAGGCAAAGTAGAATTCTGGCCTCTCCAAGGTTAACACACAAATGCACAGAGAATTCTGCAGGTTTCCCCAGTCTCCTATGTTCTGGGAAGTACTGGCAAGCTGAAAACCAGAGAAGTTTGTACAAGTCTCCCCAGGTGTTTGCAGAGACACCCCGCCTCCACTCACACCTTTGCCTCTTCGTCAGGAAACAACTGCCTGCAGGAATTGCCACTAAATGTAATTGCCCTGTTTCATGGTTGCTTATAAGAGGTATCAGTAAGGGTTGATCCAGCTGATGTAATTTCAGACCCAGAAATAAAAGTGGCTAAGTTGTTTTCTTCAGCTTCTGGAGAAATGGCCAAATGGGAGGATGTTGTAGGCTTTGGCATGGCTCAACAAAATAACTATTACTTCATCTGGCAAAGGTGAGTGAGGCTTTATTTATTTCATACTTTTGGGAAAGCACCAGTGTGACTTAATACAGGCTCGTTGCCAACCACCAGCCTGATACTGGAACACAGGGATTTTATTGTAAGTGGTTGAAGAAGAATCATCCTTACTTGAAACTTCTGGAAAAGAGTGAGTGTGGTGCTGCCCCTGTTGGGGACGAGTGTCACTCCTTGTCCTCTTCCATCTGTCATTAGGGAGCAGCTGAGGTCCCATTGCAGCCTAGGTTGCCACTGTGACAACAGTGCTGAACAGCCACACAGCCTTCACCATCTTTGCTGCCACAGCAGTGACTCCACACTGAATGGAAAAGGGCCCCGCCCTCTGGCTGTGTATGACAATCCTGCACCCCTAGCTGGACTGTGGGCCGTTCCAGAGGTAACTCTTGTTGAAATACATCTTAGTCGTCTATGTGCCTAATAATGTAACTATCATTTCCTCACCTTTCCCCCACTTTTATTCTCTCTCTCTGCACAGGGGACCCTTGTCTCAAATAAAAGTGAGTAAATAAATAAATGCTCATTGTGCCTGTGTCCATGCTGTCCTGTCAATTTCCTCCTCCGGGGGGTGTCCTATTTGCCTCACCATGTAAGGGACCAGGCAGTGAGGAAAGTGGAGCTTTGTCATTGAAAGGTGATGGCTGTTCATTGAATTGTGTCCTGATGTGCCTGCCCAGTGACGAAGGCCTCTTCTTAACACCAACAGTGAACTTGATACATGGGCCTTTCCTTTCTAAAACTTACAATAATAATAGTAATAATATTTCCTTCATGTACATTTCATTTTGAGAATTTAATTTTCTGACAAACCCTTTCTCCAACTGTTAAAGTCCTCAGGTGTGTCTTTTATATAAGATAACTTGCTTCCTTCCCTCTCCCCAGAGAGGTGGAGGTTCCTTTTATCAGATGCTCTGTCTGTGGCTGGAGAGTTGGCTTGGTGATTAAGAGCACTGGCAGCACTTTTAGAGCTCAATTCCCAGCAACCACATAACGGCTCACAATCATCTATAGTGGAATCTGGTGCCCTCTTCTGGCATAAACGTGTACATGCAGATAGAGCACTCATACATAAATAAGTCTTTTTTTAAAAAGTTGTCAGAGGTTTGAATTCACATTTTGTTCTTTCACCTGTCCCATTTAGTGATTGCCTGCATATGTTTAATGAGACAGATGTAGGTATTTATGTTAATCAACTTCAGAAACTCCTTTTGTTTTCCATTCATGATGACATTTGAAATAATAGATTTCTTTCTCCACCTTATTAACCCTTCCTCTGTTCTAACATTTTATTTTTATTTATTATTGGAGTAAAGGTGTGAGCCATCACATCCAGCTATTTCTAGTTTTTAAGTTTATTTTATTTATGTATACGAGTATGTCCCTGCATGTATGTCTGTTCATCGTGTGTGTGCCCTGTACCCATGGATGTCAGAGGAGGGTGTAAGATCTCTGGGACTGGAGTTACAGAAGGTTTTGAGCTGCTATGTGGATCATGGGGATCGATCAAACCCTTTCTTTAAAGGACTGCTGGTGGCACCTGGCCAGGGGCCCTCATGTCACGAAGATGCTCTCTCTGCAGGAGTTTCTGCTTCCCAAACTCTTTAGAATTCATTTATCAGAGTGAGATAGGAAAGGACAGAAGTGAGATCTCTTAAAGACCCCCCTTTAAGCTCAGATTCTGGTGACTTTATCCGTTTATAAACAGAAAAAAAGACACTTGTGATTACACTTGTTATGGAAGCATTTACTTTTCAAACCAGGACATGTTTCAGAGTGAAGAGGGAACTATCTTTAGGTAGATAATATTGGGAGGAAAGAAAGATACATTATCTACTTATTCCCAAGGGAAGTTCCCTGGTGCTACAAACTAATGTAGCCTTTCCCAATCAGGTGGTTCCTTGAAACAGTTATCCATAATTAAAAAGGAAGTTGTCTTGTCAGGTGTTCTGTGTTGCCTGGGTCAACACAGAATGTAATTCAGGCTCTGTCACAGCAGAGAGAAACATTTTCTATGAACCGAACCCCAAGCAACATGCAAAGCTATATTTATTGTTACACAAAAGTTGATTTTAGTGTAAAACAAGTTCCTCTTACCAAAGTCCCTGATCTAGTCTGTATGTTTTCTGATGGAAAAGGTCACACCCCTGCAATTTTAGTCCTTATTGTACACTACTGTTTGAAGTACTCGATAATACAAGATGCTGCAGGTTTGCCAGGATGGTCTTGTGACCAAAGTCATACAAAGACTGTAATATGCCTTCAGAAAAACAGCTCTGTTAACAGAAAGCAATCACTATTTTCTACAATGATTTCTTCAAGGTCTAAGTACTTCTAGAAAACAGCTGTTCACTCTGTTTACCCTAGATACAGTGAAAGACCACTATTTCATTCTAATATTGACCCTAGACTCAATGATTCTACTAGATTTCTGCTACAGTGTCTAAAGCTGGAGATATCCCCAAACCTGAATAGAGAACACAGCAGGGAAGCAAGAAAACAAGTTCAGATGCCCAGCACCTACATAAAAGTTGGGCATGGTGATGCACACCTGTGATCCCAGCACTTAATGGAGGCAGAGACAGGAGGCTCTGTGGGGCTTGCTGGTCTGTCCTTCTAGCCGAATTGGTGAGTTCCAGATTCAGTTAAGAGACTTCGTCTCAAAAAATAAAGTGAGGAGGGCTGGAGAGATGGTTCAGGTTAAGGGCACTGGGTGCTCTTCCAGAGGTCGTGAGTTCAATTCCCAGCAACCACATGGTGGCTCCCAACCGTCTGTAATGAGATCTGGTGCCCTCTTCTGGCCTGCAGGGACACATGCAGACAGAACACTGTATACATAATAAATCTTTAAAAAATATATTAAATATAAAGTAAAAAGGGGATGGAGATATGGCTTAGTAGTTTACTGTTCTTGCAGAGGATATGGGTGTAATTCTAAGCACCCACACAGTGACTCACAAGCATCCACAACTCCATTTCCAGGTGATGAGCTCATCTCCATGGACAACAAGCATGTACATGGTACATAGAATACATGCAGGTAAAACACTCATACACACAAAATCTAAACACATTAAAAAATAAAGGTCAGTGATTAAGGAAGACACCCAATGTCAGCTTCTAGCTTCCACATATATGCATGCACACATGCACACACAAACAAAAGTGTCCAGCAGGTGTGTGTAGAGGTGATATTAACATATGTGCCAGCCCAGAGTCGGCACCATCTGGGTTAATGGGTTAATCAACCAAAATTTATGCTTGAGTTGCTTCTGGAAGTCTCTTTTCTCATTTGGTAAAAATGATTGCTTCTCTGCACTGCATCTTCTGTGACTTCATAGGAACCTAATGTGCTGGTTTTTAGCTTAGTCCTAGGTGTGTGTGGGGGGGCTGGGGGTGCACAAGGAGAATGTGTTCTTGGAGATATTGCAGATTGGCTTCTGGGAGAAAGTCCAGGGTTAATGTGGAAAGCAGGTCACCTAATACAGGGATCGAAAATCTGTCCAGCATGGTGGCAAACAGTAGGGAGGATTTGAAGCAGGAGAATTAAGAGTTCGAGGCTAGCCTGGGCTACATAATGAAATCCTATGAGTGTTAGGCAACACAACGAAAGAGTCGATGTCAGGAGTCTGTGCTGTGTGGGTCCTGGGCCCTAGGAGTCCAACAGTCCCCAGGAGCTCAAAGAGTCAGTGCCAGGAGTCTGTGCTGTGTGGGTCCTGGGTCCTAGGAGTCCAACAGTCCCCAGGAGCTCAAAGAGGCTGGGAGCCTTTGTCAGTCTCATGCCCCTTCCTAATGTTTCTTCTGTGGTGTAGTTCACCCACCGTGAGATTCAGGGAGTGATTCTGATATTTTCAGAACGAGATTTTCTATCCCAGGAAAGCATGTATGAGGTGAAATCTTTGCGTCTTTGCTCTTAAGATACTCATTTTCTTTGTAGGAAACCACAGGCCCAGCTGGAAACCAAGATGAAGAACTTCTAGAAGGTAATAGGAACCTTGAGCTGCAGTGGTTGAGGAAAAAAAGAACAATTTCTAGGTACCTCATTCTCTCAAGTTGCTAGAAAATTAGAGATCTAACGGGAAATTGCCATTGTAGGTTGCTTAAAAATTCTCTTTGGAGGTTTGTTCTGTCTGGGGAAACTTTCTATGGGGTCTAATAGGTTTTCTGTGCCACCACCCAACTACCCAATAATAAGTTTCTCTGTACATGGTAAGCCAGATAAATAAGAAAAGTGTAACAGAGAAAGTATAACAGGAACATTGAGCAAAGCAACTCAGAGTGGGTTCTCTGGTCCTGGAGATCGAGGCCAGAGAAGCTGAGTGCCCAGGCCAGGGCAGGAAAGTTTTATAGATTGTAGGTAACAGGTGATGACCTGTCTACCACAAGCTAGGCTTGTGCCCAAAATATGGTCAAAAGCTGAGAGTGCTTAGGCAGTGACTTGGGCACCTGGGGCAGCATCAGGGGAAGAAGTTGCAATGGTCACCAAGAATGCAGAACTGGGCTTTTCAGCTCCTTTCCTTTGTTTGGAGACTCTGAGCATGAGCATCAGGGTTTTGAGAGAGTAAGAGAGAGCATGAGCAAGTGGGGAGAGGAGCGGGAGGGGGAGGAGGAGAAGGAGGAGGAATGGGGCTTGCTGGACCACGCAGGGATGAGCTGGAGGCTCCAACCAAACAGGGTCAATGTTAGCAGAGCCACCTCTCATGGCCTTTCCAAAGCTTGAGAAAGGAGACCTTCCCAAGTGGAAGAAGCTATGATGCTATTTTCAAGATTTGTTTCCTTCATAAGCTTAGATTTAAATTTTGCTACAGCCTGAATACGGCTCCTGAAGTTTAAGTGTCGGAAAGTTAACTTCCAGCGCCACAGTGTTGGGAGGTCAGACCTTTAAGAGAGGAGAAATCCTCAAGGATACCTTAGTGTAGTCATTGTGTGAGTGAACTCCTGTACGGGGCTGGAACTAGCCTTGTATCCCTTCCCATTTCTTCCTCTCTGTCCCCCTGTATTCCCTCACTTTTTCTATCTATAAGGGGTCAAAACACCCCTTAATCTTGGGCTTCTAGGATTTAACTCAAATACATCTTACCCATTATATGAATGCCAGTGCAAATGGATTAAGGATTAATTATATTTCAATTCCTGTGTGAGAGTTGAGATAGAACACAGGACCTTTCCCATACCCATATTTTATTTTTCAAAGAGAAAAAGCAGGAGGTAGTTTCTGTAGCTATGGCTTCTTGGTTCTCATCTAGGCCATTGATTGGTTGCTGGGGACCCAACAGGTATCTCTGGAGTAAGAAGTTGGAGATGTTTTCATTGGTTCTGAAAAGAACAAAGTTGGACCCCCAGCCAGTTTTTGAATGTGTCATACTTGAGGAAGAGGAGAAAATACTTAATCACAGAGAAGAGAAAGGGAGATATGGAGAAATGGGTACCCTGTTCTGCTGAGCCCTGGCTAGACAGACCCATCCTTGCCTTTGTTAATGAAGGGAGAAGGTGATTGTGTTTTGGGGACTCTGGTGTCCATCATGGAATTTGAATGCTTGTTTTTTCCCTTGTGAGACATGAAATATTTGTATTAGTTGTTCTAGATGTTCATCTTTCAATTGGAACAAAAGACACTTATTTCGGCTCTGGGGATTTCTCTGGGTTTAAAATGTGAGCCTGATCTTCCTGCCTTCTTGAGCTACACAACACATGATGAGGACCTGCAGCAAACTAGGTGTGGTGGTGGGATCATCAATCACAACACTTGTGAGATGGAAAAATTATGTGTTGGAGGCCAGCTTGAGCTACCTAAAAACACTGTCTCCAAAAATCAACCCCCCCCAAATATCTACTTTCCCAATACAGCTTGTCAGGGTTCAAAACCTACCTACTAGCTCTACTATCCCAGACAAGATTAATGTCTATTTGGTTTCCTTTCTGTAAAGTGGATTGTCATATCTAGCTCAGAGGATATAGGAGTGTGATATCTAAAGAGCTCTTGTGTGTCCTAACAGCACCTGGCACACAATAATCACACATAGATCCAGAGAAGCATCGCTAACTAGAAACCAGCTTCCCAAGAAGATGAGTTTAAATTTCTAGTGGGCAAACTGAAGGGAAAGCCACAGTATAACCTCTTTACCACGGGCTCCAGGCTTTAGAACTACTTGATCCATGAAGCTCGTTCACTTGCCTGTGTCTGTTTAGTAAGCAGACAGGGTGGTGTGCTTCTTTTTGGAGCTCTGTCCCTGGAGGCCTAGCCTGGCTCACTGTTTCTCAGGCCAGCAGCTCTACTCTCATCCTGGACTTTCCGGGTTTTCCTAAATGGAATCCCCACCCCCACATCTTTGCATTTGTTTTCCTCTGTCTCCAACTGTCTAGAACTCCTGCCTGGCCAGCCCCATGACACCCTTTTACAGTTGGAATAGTTCCCCCCAAATATCTTTTATTCTGTGTATCTCCATTGTGCATGGTACTATGCTATGTAAGGAGTATATTATACTGTATATTGAACATGTTTCCCCCAAATAAAAATTTTACCTTTTAATATCTATAATACATAACATTGATGCTTTTTTTTTCTTTAACTAAGTCTCTAGTTTTCAGCCATTACCAGTACGTGTTATGTGAAACTGTTTTTCTCATGTGTGCAGACCCAAATCTTCATTTGGATATTGAAGAATCAAACAAGAAGTTCATGGCAGAAAGCGAAGAACTGTATGATTCCCTCATGAGCTGTCACTGGCAGCCTCTGGACACCATCCAGTCTAACATCCCAGATGAGCCCCCCACTTCCCCATGTGAAACAAATATTCATTATGCCCTCCAACTGACATATTAATCGTATCTTGCTTTAGGTTTGGAGAAAATTTCCAGGAATGTATTAGATTCTGAATATATTACTCCCCCCCCCCTTTGTTTTTTCTGGTACTGGGCTTGAGCCCAGGGTCTTGTGTCAGGATAGCATTCCACCATCCTTCAAACACTGCTTGTAAGTCTAGACTTCCGGGATTTCAGGGAGACTAACATGATGGAATATGGTGGAAATAAAGTTTAGCAGCACAGCCATTCCAGGAAGTGTGTTATCTGAAATCTGTTCGGAAGAATTCACATGACTGACAAGGCAGAAATTACGAGATGACATTGGAAGATAGACTTTATAGAGATGGGTTTGAGCTCAAGGGTGGTGGCCTTCACTACTGTGTTTTGCTGACTTCCTGTAATAGTACACTCGGAGGAGAAATCAGATGCACAGGGGATATAAAATTTCTCTTGTCATCCTGTCTGGCAAATGTCAATTAGAATTAGATTCTCAATCTTCACTGGCCCTCAGGCTCTGTTTAGGGGAGTTGGTTTCACAGTAGAAGGCAGTGGGGAGTCACTCAGTTGAAGAGAAAGACTCCTAGACTCTGACAGAGTTCACCTCATCCACACAGCATGATGCTTTTCCTACGACCACGGCACTGGGACTTTATATAAGCCAGTTGTAAAGCTTCAGTGTGCATCGTGACTGTTTGTGAAGTTGGGGTGGGGTAGCTGGAAAGACGGTTCAGTGGTCAAGAGCACTAGAGCCCTTAGGTTCAATTCCCAGCACTTACATGACAACTCATAATCACTGTAGCTCCAGTTCCAGGGGATCTGATGCCCTCCTCTGTCTTCTATGGGAACCAAGCATATATATATTGTGCATAGGAAAAACGTATATTCGTAAAACAATAAGTTATAAAAACTTAAATAGGTTTTATTGTTCTCTGGTTTATTGCTTTGCCTCAGACACTTAAGGGAGACCCCTTGGTTAAGGTCATGGACTTGAAAGCTAAAAGCCTATGTTTAGGAAGGTTGCTCAGACCACACGCTAAGGGATCAGGCATCACCTTTCCAAAGATACTTAGTGCACTATAAAACGCACACTGCACAGGCCTTCGAAAGATACACAGAAGCCTGGTGACTGTAGCTGCTGCAAACTGAGGCAGGGGACAGGGCTTCAGAGCCCCACCCTGTCACTGTTTGCCATTTGAGCCCAGACCTTTCCTCCCCGTAAAGGGTTATCTTGAGCATTTCTCCTGACCATAGCACTCTTGCACTGTAATGTGAGTGTCCCCAGACATAGCCAAATGCCCCCGAGGGGTGAAGCTGTGCCCTCACCTAAGATGACTAGAATAGGACCGTGATTACCAGGCTCCAGGAAGATGTGTTTAGACTGAATCAGAAAGCTCACCCTGGGATTTGACAGTCAAATGAAAAGGACACAGATACAAATCAGCAGGGCAAAACTTTAAATTTAGTTAAGCAATTCTTTGTTAGAGAAATGACCACAAATCCATATTGCTTGCATATTTGTTTTAAAGGAACAGCCAATTTAACCTCATTTCCATCCGTCTTGTGTATAAATAAAAAGAAGGGTTAGGGATAGGGCTCTGCAAAGTGCTTGCCTGGCACGCATGGAACGGGCTTGATCCTCAGCACTCGGTAGACTAGGGATGGTGGTGCACACTTAATCCCAGCACTGGAGATGGAGGGGAAGATGAGGCGAGCAGGCTCTTTTCTGTTTGTTTAGGTTGGGTTGAGTTTTTGAGACAAGGCCTCCTAAGTGCTTGGAAAACAGGATTTTTTTTATAATGTGGCTAAATGAAGCCAGAACAAGAGATGCCTTTGTTCTCTTGGCCTTTTGAGTCTTACGTTGTATGTAGCTCGAGCTGGCCTGGAGCAAGAAGCCATCCTCATCCCTCAGCCTCCCAAGTGCTGGGATCCCGGGTGCGAAGCCCCACACCTGGGTCCAGATAAGGACTTGCTACTGTGCACACTGTCCTGTCTTTCTAGCAGAGATTCAGCTGTGAGCTTGAAGAACGAATGTTTAAGGAGAACAAGAGGCGACCCAGGGATGCCGTGTTCTAGTAAAGTTTCACTTACATGAGCAGGTCAGGTCTAGCTCCCAAGACAACAAGCCCTGAGTGGGTAGAGGCTCCCTCAGAAGGCAGTGGCCAGGCGGTAGCAGCAGACTATGAGAAGGGACCATGAAAGCCAATGGAAATATACACGGAGGAAAACAAAAGTCAGGTAGCCCATGGTTCTGGGGGGGAACAAAAATGGTTAACCAGGAGCTGTGTGGTATTGAGATTGTGAATACCTTGGTTTGGAGACAGGAGGACTCTGAGATCTGACTGGCTATATTGTGAGTCACTGATTGTCGAGTCTACCAAGTTAGACCTTTTTGGAAATACTCTCATAGCCAAACCAGAGATATGATTCCCTGTTTGATTCTAAATCCAGTCAGCTTGACAATGAAAATGACCCATTATAGAAATCTCATGATGTGATCCCCTCAGACTGTTTCAGCAGAAGACTCCCTAAGCTGGTCGTGTCTGCTGCCCAGCCTCCAACAACAGTAGGTACCACTTTTGTACTGCAGTAACTCACTCCCGAAAGGCTGCCCTCTGATCTCTACGCAAACACTAAGATGGGACACATGCACTCATTAATAAATAAATGCATGAAAAAATGGTATTTTGTCTTTTGGGTTTTTGTGTTCCAGGTTGGCCTTAAACTCTTAACATTTCTGCCTCAACCTCCTTAGAGCTGGGCTTACAGGCTTATGTGTCACCAGGCCCAGCTAAAATTTTGTGGCAGTAAAATATACATAAGGTAAATTTTATTGTCATTTTAAGAAACATTTCAATAGGTATTTTTTTGTTTTTTGGTTTTCTGAGACAGGGTTTCTCTGTATCTAAGCTCTGGCTGTCCTGGAACTCACTCTGTAGAGCAGGCTGGCCTCGAACTCACAGAGATCCACCTGCCTCTGCCTCCCACATGCTGGGATTAAAGGCATGCGCCACCACTGTCCAAGTTAATAGTTTTAATACACATGTAATTGTTTAACTATCACCACCATCTATATCCAGATTTATTCCTCTTCCCATGATGAAAGTCCATATCCATTGGACAATAGCTCCTTATGCTCTCTCTCACCCCCTCCAGCCAGAATTCTCTTTCTATAGTAAAGGACTTGCTTTTGGTGTTGCTATTTGTGAGCTTTTGTGTTTGATGCATTTTCAATTGGCATATTTTCAAAGTTCATCTATGTTGCAGCATGTGGGAATTTGTTTTCTCAGACTGAGTTGTATTCCACTGAATAGATTTACCATATTGTACTCATTTATCCATGGGTGGGTATTTGGGTTGTTTCTAACCATTGGAATGATTATTATGCTACTATAAATTCTTAGACATGATGCCCAAGCCAGGCTTCTTAAATTCTGAGATGTATGTGCAAGCAATATGCATACACTCCAGTGTGGCCCATGCTTTTTGTTTGTTTGTTTTTTGAGACAGGGTTTCCCTGTGTAGCTTTGGAACCTGTTCTGGAACTAGCTCTCGTAGACCAGGCTGGTCTCAAACTCACAGAGATCTGCCTGCCTCTGCCTCCCAAGTGCTGGGATTAAGGGCGTGCACCACCACCATCACCACCACCGCCACCGCCATCGCCACCATCACCACCACCACCACCACCACCCTGCCCAGTGTGTCCCACTCTTGTTGTCTGATAGAAACAGTGTGGAGAAAGAAGACATGATTCAGGGTCCAGGCAGATTTGTTCTAGGCCATGATTTCCTAAACTATGGTTTATGGAACACATGAGTTCTATAAAGAGATGAACAGCTTAAAACAGAGGCAGTGATTCTATGTTCAAATTCATTGAAGAAAGGCTGTGTTTTTCCTCTCTGTGTTTTCAGATGAAAGGCTCTGACAATGTGCCATTTCTAAGCATTTCCCAAATGGACCAGACCATACAATAAGCTTCTTTACCTGACACACCTAGCTGGTACTGGAAAGAATCTTCTAAACTCATGTACTGAAGGTGTGTTCTGCAGATGGGATGGGCTGTTGACTGTGCTGACACCGACATTAAGTTGAATGTAGATATTAGGTCATAGTAGAAATCCCTCTGGCAATGTGGCAGGTCCACAGAGTCCAAGCAACATTGCACTTTCTAATAATTTACTCCGTCATATTTTGAAACAGCACAATTCCAGAACTGTATGCAAATAAAATACCAATTCTCCATCACTGATGGAGAGGGAAGTAGTCTAGAGGCAAGTGCAGACATTTGAATTTCATGGGTTTGAAATCATAACAGAAGACAACCATTAGTATATAGTGGCCAGCTGCTTTTAGCTTTAAGACTTGCACTCTCTGTTCCTTTCATTTCACATTTAAATGTAACTTTTTAAAAAGGTTTTTTTGGAAATGGAGTTTCTCTGTGTAGCCAGCCCTAGCTGTCTTGGAACTCACTCTGTAGACCAGGCTACTTCAAACTCAGAGATCTTCCTATCTCTGCCTCTCAGAGTGCTGGGATTAAAGGCATGTGCCACCACTGCCTGAATAAATATGACATCTTAATAGTCTTTAAAAATGGACTTGCCGAGAATGCACCTCAGTGGTAGACTGGGTACTTAGCATGTTGTCAAGGACCTGGGTACAAACCCCAGTACCATGTAAATAACATTTAAAAGAGAATGTATGCAGTTGGCAAGATGCCTCAACAGGTAAATGTACTTG